GAGAGAAAGAAAGAGGAAGAGAAAAAGGGAGAGAGAACCGGAGTCTTGCTTAATTTCCCAGGCTAGAATGCAGTCTAAAAATGGGTATTGAAAACCTCTTTTATGCCAATAATTGTGCTTAACAATGGAGACAGGAAGGAATAAGGGGGGAAAATAACAAATAAGCAGCCAACCAATATTTCATTTAAACCTGCGAAATGCTATGCAATTACTGAGGAGTGATTTACTTCCAATTATGTAGTCACTTTTAGAGTAGGTGTGATGTGGTACTGATAAGAATGTATGTTTTGTGGATTTGGGGTGGAGAGTTCTATAACTGTTTATTAAGTTTACTTGTTCCAGGTCTGAGTTCAATTCCTGGATATCCTTGTTAATTTTCTGTCTCGTTGATTTGTCTAATATTGACAATGTGTTGCTAAAGTCTCCCACTATTGTTGTGTGGGAGTCTAAGTCTCTTTATAGGTCATTAAGAACTTGCCTTATGTATCTGGGTGCTCTTGTATTGGGTGCATATATATTTAGGATCGTTAGCTCTTCTTGTTGCATTGATCCTTTTACCATTATGTAATGTCCTTCTTTGCCTCTTTTGATCTTTGTTGCTTTAAAATTTATTTTATCAGAGGCGAGAATTGCAACTCCTGCTTTTTATTTTATTTTTTTTGCACTCCATTTGGTTGGTAAATCTTCCTCCATCCCTTTGTTTTGAGACTTTGTGTATCCTTGCATGTGAGATGGGTCTGGATGCAGCATACCGATGGGTTTTGGCTTTTTATTCAAAATTTTTGTATTTTTAGTAGAGATGGGGTTTCACCATGTTGGCCAAGATGGTCTTGGATTTCTTGACCTCATGATCCCTCCTGCCTCAGCCTCCCAAAGTGCTGGGATTACAGGTGTGAGCCACCGCGCCAGGCCACACTTTATGTTATTTTTAAATTGAATGATGAGTCATTGATAAATAAAACAGTAAATCCCTCCTTTCTGTAACAATAACACATGCCTATTGTTTTCTTCTATTTTGTTTACAATCCTAGCCGAACTTTTAGGTTAGGGCTTCCTGTTATTTTTTCCTGAAAGCATTTATGTAACTTCTTATAAACCCGGCACCACTCAGGGCATTTGATTGTAGTAGCAAGTGAGGTTAACTAAGTCTAAAAGCCACGCAAACTTTTAAACTTAGTTAACCTCACTTGCTTCACAGGAGCATTTAACTGCATCTACCTAATTTAAAAGATGTGGGTAGCCCATGAGCAGTTCTATGTGCAAGAGAAATTTTCACACTTTAAGGCTATGTCAGGACCAGAGAATGAATTTATGACACAATCAAATTGAAACAAAATGACACAATCACATTGAAATGACACAATCACATCAAAACAAAAATCAAGTTTTTTTTTGGTTCTTTTCAAAAAGATAAACCACAATAAGAGGGCCTCAAAGGTGATTTCCTGCTGCTCTCAACAGCATATTTGCAATGGTGGCACACTGGAAGCCTTACGTTTCTTCAGTCTGATGTAATTTTGGCTGCAGTACTTTCAGACTTTAGTAATTTGCTTGTTTTAAGATAAATAATAGAGGATTATTTATTTATTTTTGAGACGGAGTCTTGCTCTGTCACCAGGCTGGAGTGCAGTGGTGCAATCTCACCTCACTGCCACCTCCGCCTCCTGGGTTCAAGTGATTCTTCCACCTAGCCTCCCAAGTAGCTGTCACCACAGGCGTGTGCTACCACACCCGGCTAATTTTTGTATTTTTAGTAGAGATGGGGTTTCACCATGTTGACCAGGATGGTCTTGATCTCTTGACCTCGTGATCCGCCCACCTTGACCTCCCAAAGTGCAGGATTACAGGTGTGAGAATATTTTTTATAAACCCCTTCTTGAAATGTCTAGTACCTTCATTGCATAATTAAAATTCCTACTGTTTCTTTAACAGTAAAGACATTTTCATTATCCAAGAATGGTATTCATGTTTTTCCAGAAAAGCTATCATTACTCCATTTGTTTCAACTTTGATCTTGAATAAAAACAAAACAAGTAAAATCTGTAGTAAAATTGTAAAATAATCTCTTTATTAAAAAATAATCATTTTTAATGATGTTCTACAAACAGAAACAATAATAAAGCCCATGTTACAAATTACTTTGCCTAATTTAGATATGAGTGACTTAAACTTGCTACTTTTGCAAGTGTCCCCTGGTGATTTTCTGAAAACGTAATAAATTGAAAGTACAGAAATAAAGAGTCACATTTCTTTTGGGCACTAGCCCTATTTAAGCTTTTAGAAATTTTCTCAGCCTTTTGTCAGTTTTCAAATTAGAGATTGGAAACTCTAATTCTGATAATATCCTTCTATTGTATGAGTCCACTGGCACAATCAGATTGCATGTTTTATCTTCCACCTGCTCTCAAGTTCATCAGCTGAGAGAAGGTACCCTGGCTATCCTTCCAGAGAAGAAATAATAAATGTTAATGATTAACAAACAAAATTGCAGCCCTTATGGGAATCTGCCTCACTTGTAAATGCACCCTTCTTTCCCTACAGTTACCGTATTTGGTTATACCTAGCTCTGATACAGTTCAAAACTTACCCCACCCACAGAACCTCTTTATCAGGTGGCATCAATGTCATTTTATTGCCAGTGAAACCGATTCACAAACAAGCAACTCTCCTGAACTCAAGGACAGAACACAGACAAATGAGGGGCTTCCACTCATTTCCATCACCAGAATTTGGTTTCCATGCAAAGAAGTAGGCCACTGTGATCTCAACCAGGCCAAGTTTTCTCCTCCTTCCTCTATCCTCAGTCTTCTTTCTCCTTCATTGCAAGTGTCCTCAACCTCTGGGCCATGGACTGGCAGTGGTCCATGGATTGTTAAGAACCCAGCAGCAAAGCAGGAGGTGAGCCCAGGCCCAGCAAGGGAAGCTTCATCTGTATTTACAGTCGCTCCCCATCACCTGCATTACTGCGTCAGCTCTGTCTCCTGTCAGATCACTGGGGCATTCGATTCTCACAGGACTGGAACCCTGCAAATGAGAGGGATCTAGGTTGCGTGCTTATGAGAATCTAATGCCTGATGATCTGTCACTGTTTCCCATGATCCCCAGATGTATCTGTCTAGTTGCATGAAAACAAGCTCAGGGCTTCCACTGCTTCTATGTTATGGTGAGTTGTATAATTATCTCATTATATATTACAATGCAATAATAATAGAAATAAAATGCACAATAAATGAAATGGGATTGAACCATCCTGAAATCATACCCTGCTGCCTCTACCCCAGTTTGTGGAAAAAGTCTTCCATGAAACTGGTCCGTGGTGGGGGACCACTGGTCTCTACAGGATCTATACTCTCTCCGTTTTTTTTTTTTTTACCTGGGCTGTAGTCCAGGCTGGAGTGCAATGGTGAGATCTTGGCTCACTGCAGCCTCTGACTCCTGGGTTCAAGTGATTCTCCTGCCTCAGCCTCCCGGGTAGCTGGGACTACAGGTGCCTGCCACCACCTCCGGCTAATTTTTGTATTTTTAGTAGAGATGGGGTTTCACTATGTTGGTCAGGCTGGTCTTGAACTCCCGACATCAGGTGATCCACCCACCTCAGCCTCCCAAAGTGCTGGGATTATAGGCGTGAGCCATTGCGCCTGGCCAGGTCTGTCCTCTCCTGACGCCTACTGTCTTTAGGCTCATTCTGAACCTTTTCCCTCAGGCAGAAAAGTAGCATTACCTTATTCACTCTAAGATATGAAGGACTCCTGAGAGTTTCTCATTTCATCATGTACCAGCTTTTACTTGCGAACTCTGGAAGTCCCTTCTGGTGGAATTGGCAGGAGAAGAAGCGACTGGATTGCTCTGCTGGGTGTGAGGCGAGGGCAACCTGGAGCAAGTTCAAATCTGGCCTCTGTGGGAGGCGAAGGTTGCAGTGAGCCGAGGTCGCGCCACTGCAGTCCAGCATGGGCGACAGAGCGAGACTGTTGCTCTGTCAAAAAAAAAAAAAAAACCATTTCTGTTGTTGCTCGTCACTTCTGGGCCTCAGTTTACTCATGTGTAAGGGGGCCTGCGATGAGTAGAGGAGCTCGCGCATGCCAAGCACCTAGTTTGCTTGGTATCTTAGGAGTCACCTAAAGATTAGTTCAACTCCTCGCCTGCCCCCGCCCCGGGACAACACTCATTTGGGGGAAAACTCCCCCTCAGTGCTGAAGTGATCCAGTTCCCGTCTTTTCTCCAGCTCGCCAAACGGGCTCTCTGGTGAGGCCACTGGTTTGGGAAGGCGCGGTACGGGTGGGTGCACCGCGCACCAAACCCCGCCAGAGAACCGAGCGAGGCGACCGCGGGGCTGGGTGCCTCCAGGGAAAGGCGCCAGCGTCACCTCGGGAGGAAGGAAGGGGCGGGATCTGGGCGGGCGCTCCGAGCCTGAAAACCTCCGCGCCTTCGCTGCGCGCGTCACTGAGGCCCCGGGCGCCCGAGGACGCGCTCTGCAGCCAGTGGGAGGGGGCGCCGTGTGCTCGGGAGGATCCGCGGCCCGCGGTCCCTGGTCGCTGGCTCCGTCCCCCGCATCCCCGAGCTCACACCTGCCCGCGCGGAGGAGCAGCGGCCGGGCGCGCTCTGAGCCGGGAAAGCCGAACAGCTCAGGAGAGTTCCCGGACTCCCCAGCCCCAGGTACCTTTGGGGCGGCGGGCTGGGGGTGAGGTGGGGACTGGCCCTTTTCTGTTCCTCATGCACAGACAGCAGCTTTGTCCGGGAGGTTTTCGGGGTGTCGGATAGGAAGTTACCCCCCGCCGCTCCTGCCGACCTGGCTGGCTGGCACATGCTCATGTATGCTAAGCAAAGCCTGCAAAATTATAGATGTCACCTCCCTGCTTCATAAAATATGAGAATATTTACATAAATGAGGAAATATTGGAGATGGTGGTGTGTTTTCTCTGTACTCTAGTGTTCCTTGCAACGTTTTTCTAATCAGAAAACAACAAAAATGCCATTTATGCAGTGTGGCTCCAGAGCAGTTGTGTGTGACCCCCCCCTTGCCACCTGCCACAGCCCCACGCCCTCTGCGACCGAGCGAGACCTTTCTGCGTGGCCCTGGGCTACCCCGCGCGCCAAGATCCTTGGTCCTAGACCTGACTTCTTGCTTCAGTCTGGTTCATGAGAGAAATATAATCATCCGTTGTTTTCTGGGACTTTCCCCAGATTTCAGATGAAGAGTGTAATTTACCCAATCCTCTGAGCCAAAATCCACACTGAGCCTCACTGCGGATGTCCGCAGCGACCGGGAAGTGGGGTCAGGCAAATCAGGGAGAGTGGGAGAAGGAAAATCTCATACCTGAAAAACACCGAGCTTTCCTAAGGGTTTCCTCCTGCTGTGTTTGGTTTTCACATTTTGTTGTTGTCGTTGTTCTTTGTTTTTGCAAGACCGGTGGCTTTAGTATTACTTCTGCCGAATAGCTGTGCCAGAGTTCACAAATGTCTTCAGAGCCACACTTCAGGGTGATCCTGCTGAGCAGGGTTAGGCAAGAGGATAGCTTGGTCTTTTGCTCTGTTCCAAGTTTCTGTTCCCCTCCTGTGTGCTCAGTATTTGGTGTTCATTAGGGAGAAAAGCCTCGAAACTTCCTACTTGCAACCACCCAAAGACATAACTCTTTCTTGAGAATGTATTCAGAAGGAACTGGGGAGAGGGGTGGGGGAGAAATGAAAGTAAAAATTTTCACCATCCAAAGCAGACTCCATTATTGTAGTCAATTTTGTTTTTAAAAACAGACTTCTTAAAGCATGAGAAATCTTGTTGGCATGCATGACCACCCAGGGGTGCCAAGCTTTCTGTTAAACTGCTTAGACATCTGGCTTCTTTTAGCAAAAATATCTCTGTATGTCTTTTTGTTTATGACATTTTAAGGCCAAACATCCTTCTGCAAAGTGAGGGTAGTATGTCTTTTCACTGGCTTTGCAGGACCTTAGGGGGTGTGTGTGTGCATGTGTGGGTGGGTGTGCACGTGCTTGTGGGGGTGTGTGTGTGGAGTTACAGGGAGGGTAGCAGAAATGGAAGTGCTGTTTTTGCACATAACACTTCTACACGTGTCCATTCTTCTTTCCCCAGAGAGGAGTCAGAAGCCTTGCCCTGAATCTATCCCTTCTCTTCCCAGCTCTGAGCCTCCCAGGTAAGTGTATACATACTGATGTCTAGCACAGAAGAGCTGGACACTCAAGAATGCGGCATCCATGCCTTCTGTATTAAGCTTTTAGAGACAGAGTTCCCAACTGCATTGCTTCTTTTTATTTCAATATTTGTTGTAGTTCCTTTGTTAACACAGATCTGTTGTCAGATATTAATCAATGTTTTACAACTTTTCCATGACAGATATTACAGTTTACCCCTTTAATGATACTTTGCTAATCTCCAACCACAGTCGATTCCATAAAAATGAGATAGTTGGTGACTTTGTAGAGAAAGTATTTGCTAAGTGTTTGAATAACAAATACTTTCCATGTCCATATTTTATACCACGTGCATTGAAGTGTACATGATATAAAATTCCAAAGGTACAGAGTGTGCAGTGGCCAGTCAGTCCCTTCCTATCCTGGTCCCCCAGTTTCTGTCTCCAGAGGTAACAATTGTTACCACTATATAAAATCGTTGTTCCTCTCTTTCTTTGATAACTTAAGACTAACATTTTAAAATGCTGTTTTGAGCAAATGTGCACCAGTGATTTTTTTTTTTAATCTCACAATTTTAAGTACATTGTTTTAGTTATTTGTTAGCTTCTGTCTTTCCTGTTTTTCTGCTGACCACTCTGAAATGTCAGGATATTCAGGCCACTTTGTAGAGGGACCTTGTGGCTTTGGAGATAAACAAATAGATTTGTTTCTAAGTTCCTTGAGGTTAGAGATCAAGATAGTCTTCAAACAAACTGCCACAATTACCAATGAGTACTAGGTCCATGCAAACATTTATACGCCCAGGCTTAAGGATAACTGATATTCACAGTAACCTGGTGCTTCAGAGCCTGTTCCTCCTATGAGGTAGCGCTAATGGCGTATTTCCCTCCCCAGTATTAGATTCTCATTTGGTGCCTTGCTGGTTGTAGCCCACACACCTTTATGTCCCCCTTCTCTACAGGCTAACTGCTAAAGTTTGTGAAGTAACTGGTAACCAGGGAGGCAGTGTTTGTAACGGTCAAGAGAGGGTGCATTAGAGTTTGAATCCTGTCTTTGACATTGGATTTGTGATCTGGGCTGGTTTTTAAACTCTCTTGAGCTTCAGCACCCTCATCAGTGAAGCAGTGATTCACAGGGTTATTTTGAAGAACAGATGACCTGTTGTCACCAAAAAGCAGGTTAGTTGCCCACTACATGCAGAGTCCAATTAACAAGAGTGAGGTCTGGCACAAAAAAAAAGGGAATTCCTAAGTGAGCCTGGAGAAAGGGACACAAAATGTCCTTCCTTTATCTACATGCAGAATGTGCTGCTTCACTTTTGGAGCAGAAAGTGGGTGCTTTTATAAAGTAGGGTGGGAAGTGAGCCAGAGCAGGGGGTCCCCCACTTGCCTGGTGCCTTATCTACCAGACAGTAGAGTTGGCTCCTTCCTGGGAAGAAATATAAGTTATATAAGTGGCCAAGTGGGCATGCTTTTGCCATGCTCTCGTAGTAGGTGTGAGTTCTGAGGCCACCCCCTGGAGGTGAGAGTTCTGTGGGAGCATGCTTTGGTCTACAAATCAACTGTCAACTCTCCAGGAGAGATCAAAGTTGAGATCATCTTGAAGCACATAGTTAGATATACTTGCCTGCAGGGAGCCAGCCCTATATCACCCATGGGTACCCCATGTTCGATGGTGACAAAGGAATGAGAAAAAGACAGATTAAGAGTGCAAAGAGTGGGACCAGGGGCCACCACGTATTACTCTGGAGGAGACAATGAAGGCCCTGAACTCTGATCATCCACACTATTTATTGGTTACAGTCACTTTGATCTACAGTGTAGGGGTGGTGTAATAGAGGAGAGTGGGTGACGTGATGGTGGAGTGAATCAGTGAGCCAGAAGTGAATTAGTGAGCCAGAACTGGTGTGTCATTCTAAGGATTCATAACAATGGCGGTTTGGGAGTTTCACAAAACAAGAACATGTGGTTATCTTTAGCTTATTATCTATGTGCAGCTGATGGAATGCAGGCCTTACAAGGAGCCTACAAGTCTGGCTATGTCATAGTGCTATGAAGGGGTTTTATGTCCTTGAGCACAGTGTTTATGGTAACAGAGCCTAGGTCACCCTGCACGGGAACATGAGGCATGGAGATGCCTTCCTCCTCAGAGTCCTCCTGCGGCCTTCCACAGTTTGTTGTTCCTTGTTTATATGTTACTCATAACCAATTTATGTAGGCACTCTGTAAGTCCTTTCTCCTTTGCTGCTTTTCCCAACACTTGCCCTGTATGTAGGGAATGTCTGGTCAGGAGAGGTGAAAGGTTACATTTGCATTTCTGAAGAGCTAAGTAGGAAGCAGGGCACGGGGGAAAGCGGGAAAGAGAAAATAATTTTTAAAAATTAAACGATTATTTAGAAAAATGGAGGTACTTTGTACAATGTGTTAGGGACTTTGCAGTCTTCTGGTACATGAAAGGCATGTAATAAGTAGTAGCCCTTATTTCTGTCTATATTAGTTTGTTCTCACACTACTAGTAAAGACATACCTGAGACTGAGTAATGTATATAGGAAAGAGATTTGGTGGACTCACAGTTCACGTGGGGGAGGCCTCACAATCATGGCAGAAGGCAAGGAGGAGCAAGTCATGTCTTACAGGGATGGCAACAGGCAAAGAATTTGTGCAGGCAAACTCCCCCTTATAAAACCATCAAATCTGGTGAAACTTAATCATGATCACAAGAATAGCATGGGAAAGACCTAGCCCCATGTTTCAGTTATCCCATCAGATCCCTTCCACAATATGTGGGAATTGCGGGAGCTATAATTCAAGATGAGATTGGGGTGGGGACGCAACCAAACCACATCACTGTCCAGGTTTGCTGTGGTTTTATATCTTCATAAGATATGTGAATGTATCCATCAGCTCAGTCTCTGTTATGGTGCAGTAACAAATGACCTCAAAAATCTCAGTGGCTTATTGGAAGAAGGGTTGACATTTTGGCTAATATTACCTGTCCTTTATATACCTGTCTTCGGCTCTTCCCTTTGGGACCCAGGCTGAGCAGCCCCTTGCGGGAACTGCTGAAGTTTTGACAAGAGAAAGAGGGAAGGGAGAACTACACAGTGGCTCTTAAGCTTCCATTCATGTTTCGTTGACATGGTTGTTAACAAAGTGGATCATTGTTTTAAAGGGTCAGGTCTGGTAGGGGTAGACCTGCAGAAACAGGGTAGCAAATATTTCACAATAATGCAGTCTGCCTCAGTGTTTGTTGGATGGAGTAACAATTGTGAACCCAGAGATTCATCAAACCCAGAGAACTGATCTACACCAAGGCACTCATAGCCACTGAGGTATAAACCAGAATGCCATTTTTTTCCCTAATAGTGGATAACGTATCTGCCCTGGGGATTGAGTATAAGAACATATGTGGGGTAATGGGATAAGCTTTTCTTGTGGTGGATTTGCTCAGAAGACTGAATTATAAAATAATAGCTTATATAAAGCATACAAAATCAAAATTTTGGATGTTACCAAAAGACTATTTAGAGCCAGAATACACCACGGTTTTTAATCCAGTTCTCCTTCTGGAATTCTTATTGCCTGAAGTCCAAGAATGAACTAGATTGATGGCAGCATATCCTAAACCAAGCTGGAGATCCCTGACGGATTCTTGCGCTTCTTTTTCAGGCTCTTGTTAATAGCAAATGCTTTTCTTGTCGACTGCTAATGCATCATCCCATGACTTATAATTATCCTTTTATGCTGTCTGCTTCCTGGATAATGGGACTTTATTACCATAATTAAAGTGTCTTCAAATCACAGTGTAAAATGGATTAACCAGTTCTACCCATTGTGTGTTAATTCTTGCTGACTTTGGTTTCATAGTAAGTTTTACTACCTCAGCACAGGACTCTGAGGATTTTTTTCAATTTTTCTCCTTACAGCTGGACATCTGTGGCCTGCTTGGGTAGAGCAATATGATGCAATAATGTTCAAAAAATATATTATGAAAATAAAATTGAAGATGCATTTTCAAATCAATAGAAAAGAAATATTGCTTAGTTATGTCATTTGTTGGATAATTGAATAAACTGAGAGTGATTTTCAGCAGCAGAACTTTGCAAAATAGAAAGGAAAATTGTATTTTAAAAGTAAATAGCAAGGCTGAGAATGGTGGCTCCTGCCTGTAATCCAAGCACTTTGGGAGACCGAGGTGGATGGATTGCCTAAGCTCAGGAGTTTGATGGCAGCCTGGGCATCATGGTGAAACCCTGTCTCTACTAAAATATGAAAAATTAGCCTGGAGTGGTGACGCGTGCTTGTAGTCCCACCTACTTGGGAGGCTGAAGTGGGAGAATTGCTTGAACCTGAGAAGCTGATTTTGCAGTGAGCCAAGTTCACATCACTGCCTCCAGCCTAGTAAGACGCTGTC